CTGTGCTTTCACTCCTTTCTCTCTCATTATGAAATCAGTTGTGGTGCGTGCCTTGTTTTACTGCCTTCTCTAAACCTTTAACCAAGAAATAAAAAGCAGAGTGATGGCCCTCTGCTCCTTTAACTTTGTAAATTAAAATGAGGAAAGGTGTGTGTAGACCCTCAATGGATTTACACCTATCTTACCTCAAACATCGGTCCTTTCCCAGATGAATAGGTTTATGCCTGTCTTATTCTTTTACCATTATTAAGTTTCCAGGGATCTGCTGGTTAAACATTAAAATAAGAAGAAAATGAACATTGACCCTCGGGCCATCCAATTTGTAAATTGTTTCTTCATCTGAATAGATTTGGAGAAATGTAGCATTACATCACTTGCTCACCAATGGATCCTCTGGAGTGAATGGGTGCCGTCAGAATGAGAGTCCAGACAAATTATGGAGAGTCCATAATCCATAATAAAGCTGACCCTCCTAACCAAAAGCATTTCTGTTGTGGTGCCAAGGAGTCTAAAACAAACAATGCATATCTTCTGTGTTAAGTCTGGTTATTTTCAACAGAAGCATTCAATGAGAGTGCATAACTGCCTGTCACAATTATGTTATATTATAAAATAGTACATCATGCATATATTATTTCCTATAGTAAAAACAACCTTTTAGTAATGAGATCCAGAAGCTTTAAATACCTTTAGCATGAAGGTGGACCGTATCAATATTGAGTTGTCCTGTTGTAATTTGTGCTTAATTTTCTCACAGTTTTCATAAACTGCACTGCACTGGAAGTTTCGTTGGCCAGTGGGACTAAATGTGGAAAGCAACTTTCGAGGCAACACCTTAAGATCACTTGCCATTAAGAAGCAGCTCAGATGATGAAGGACGTTCATTCTAAGCAGTTCCTCTGTAACTAGGATTTAGTTCCCTGTACTTGTAACTACTCTACGGCTCTATTTTAGTAAAATAACAAAACAGTGTCCTTATCCATGACAGTTCAAGACTACTACTGATTTCCTATCCTGTATGTTTTACCTCTCCTTTGCAAAGGGTGTTGAATTTGTATTTTTTATTAATTTAATTGATTTAATTTTTTGAAGCACAAAAAGTTACCTCTCTTAGTTCAGCAGGAAAGTATGACTGTACAGAATTTGATGAGAAATTTCTTTATAAAATCATGACATTTGTAAAACAAAAGTTTTCTAAAATACAGAAAATGTATAAAAAAAAGAAGAAGTAGAAGAAGAAGAAGAAAAAGGTGGCCAGACATTATGTGGACACAATTTAAAATCATTAATACCACTTGCATCCATGTTTTAAGGATTTTAATTTGCAGGCATAGTAAGATACTTGTAACAATTTCCATAAGTTGTGAAAGGCATTTGAAATGTTTCTTGCAAGGCACATAACGGAGAGAAATGCTAAAAACAAGAAAATACAAATTAAAATGGGGAGATGAGACATGTAGAAAAACAAATACAAACAAACGTTAAATGCTGTCATATTTAAAACGTTGCTAAAAAAGGGATCTTTTTACAAGAAAGAACACATAGGCTGCTTTTGTAAAACCATAGATAAAGACTTGTAATTAGAACACAAAGTAGAAAAGACAAAGAAACAAAAATCAACACAAATAATTTTGTAAAATTAGAAATGTGCATTAAAACATAAACTTGTTTGTGTATTCCCCTTAGCAGTTCTAACCCTTAAAGGGGTCATATGATGCGATTTCAATTTTTCCTTTCTCTTTGGAGTGTTACAAGCTTTTGGTGCATAAAGAAGATCTGTAAAGTTGCAAAAGCACACCTCGCTTTTTTCAGACCGATGAGCTTTGTAAAAATCGACGGGTTTCAGAAAGGCGGGGCATAGAGGAGAAACAATAATGTACAGTATGTGGAAAATAATGTGGTTTTTTTACTTTAAACCGCATAAACACATTTCATTACACCAAATACACAAAATAATGTTCTTTTTAGCAGCATCATATGACCCCTTTAAATGTTTTAAAACCCAAAAGAGAGACAAAGTCACAAAAAAAAAGACAAATTTAGCAACAAATAATCCAAATAAACAAACAAACAGGTAATATACACATATTCCAAACCTCCATTCTTCATTAAGGAAAAAAATTGACCTCTACTGCACTAAATGACAAAATACGAGCACAAAAGATAAACGCTATTTAAGAAGGAAAATAAAAAGCAAAAATCTCTGATATTAAGTCCAATATCTCATGTTTAATTTACCAAACAGACACTGAGTCTGGAGGAGGAAAAAAAAGTATGTCAAAAACATTTGCTCTGATAATTCACAAAAACATTAATATCCTGTGACCTTCTTGAATTACACTTTGCCATTGACTGCTAAATTTATATTTATACATTTATCAACGTTGAACTGATATGGAAGAGTTAATGCATTTCTAGGGACTTTTATCATATTTCCAGAGACATGGCTATGTTCCCTTGGTAAATGCAATGTGAACATACACACCATATGTACATGCCAAAACTTTGTCTTTGGTCTGAAAATGATAGTATAGACTCTAGAAGAGATCAACTAAATCTAAGGAGTACCACTGTTTACTGCTGCAGGCCATATTTACCCTGTCACATATCCGGATCAGTGCATTTACACAAAGCTGCTGGACTTTATGATCACTGCAGATTTATCCAGCGCACTCTGTGGTAATCATTCTGCTCTGAAATCTTTGGAAATGATCTTTTTGTTCTCTAAGCACATCTAAATTTTGGCTGATCATTACATTGGTGGTACATACAGTACAGACATACTCCTCCACACTGTGAGAGGATATCAATAGAGATAGACAAGGAATTCTGGGAGCGGTCAAAAACCCAGTTCATAATGTGCATCACTGACTACAGATAGAACAAAAATGTAACAAGATGAGGATAAATAAGCAATAAATAAAAGAACATGTGTATATATAGCCTATGATGTGTTTGTTTATATTTTAAAATATTTTAAGATAACAACATTACAAAAAAGGTTGAAAAGTCTGAGATGTCCTCTTGATGTATTCAAATAAAATGGTTTGCAATGACACAAAAGCAGAAAGATGAAAGTAGAAAAAAAAGAGATATCTTTACAGTTTTAAGCAAGTAGTATACAAGTATACATGCATGCAGCTTACAACCTTAAACCATATGGCTCTGTCCCAAATATATTACAGTGCTGCTTCTATATATGCAGCAATCAGAAGCTTATGAGTTGTTTTGTAACACTGTTCTGTCTTGTGAGGAGGTATAACGTTGTTATCAGTGGTGTGCACAGACCTCAGTGGGGTGGAAGGAAAATAAAACAGACTGTAGAATTAATTTTGTTTGCTTTTTCTTTCATTATTCGTAATTCTTTTGTTAATAATCAAAAAAACCCTACTCTATGATTTTTTCTCACCTGTAAATAACTGTTAACATAGTAATTCATGTGTTTGGACATGTACCATGGTAATGCCATGGTACTCTGAAGTTTTGAAGTACATTTGGATTAACATGTAAATACCATGGTATATGAATGTGGTACTCATTCAGTACCATGACATTACATTCAGTACCATGATAACACTACAGGTTTTAGTGATGATTACCATATTCATGTGGAATATGAATACATGGTGCTCCAACACACTTCAAAGAATGCTATTATAGAGTTGAAAATGGCGTATTAGTTAGGGTTAGGGTTAAAAAAATCTTTGGTTCACAACTCTTCCGTGAACAACTTATTTTATCACTCTTAAGAAATCGGTAATTCTGACTGACTGATGTAATAAACATTTGATAATTCTTCTTCCTCTTATACAGTTTGATGAACATGCATTAAAGCAATACACAGTACATTTTTGAAGCCACTCTGATCTGCTGGAGCTGTATAGTGAAACTCTTATTATACAGCTCCATAATTTTTATGTTTTTCTTCCACTACCTACAAAGAAACTAATGTATTTATAGTCAGTTATTACGTGACTGAAAGGAACAGCTTGTGCACACCACTGCTCATATTTGCCGAGTTAGCTGGCTCATATCTGACACTCTAAGAGATCTTTTTTTTTTTTTTGTCTAACATATCAGTGTGTCATTGCTTTTAATACCTAATCACGCAACTCTTCTAGATCCCAGAGTAAAATGTTACATTTCAGCTTTTAATGTTACTTTTTGCTTAATGATATGTGACCCTGGACCACAAAACCAGTCATAAGGGTCGAAATTGAGATTTATACATCATCTGAAAGCTGAATAAAAAATCTAAATATTGAGAAAATCGCCTTTAAAGTTGTCCAAATGAAGTTCTTAGCAATGCATATTACTAATCAAAAATTAAGTTTTAATATATTTACAGTAGGAAATTTACTAAATATCTTCCTGGAACATCATCTTTATTTAATATCCTAATGATTTTTGGCATAAAAGAAAAATCTATAATTTTGACCCATACAATGTATTGTTGGCTATTGCTACAAATGTACCTTAGCAACTTAAGACTGGTTTTGTGCTCCAGGGTCACATATAGCAAATCTGAAGATAAAATATATGTAAATAGTGCACGCACATTCAGATCTATGAGACTTAGATCACCTTTGGTCCTTGATTTGCCCTGAGTGAAAGGTTTGATTTGTAATAATGTGATGTATTCTTTTTTTCAATCTAAAAATTTAATTTTACAATCTTCTAATGCCCAAAACCCTAACACTGGTGTAAGTGTCAAATTCAGATGCAGAGTTGTATGGCTGTAGGGCTGTAAATTTGGAGCGTTTCGTAAAAAGGCTTGTCGTCAATAACACATAAAAACACACTGAAAGAAGCACAGAGTTGTTGAAAATATGCAAAACGAAATATAACAATGCAATGAGACAATGAGACAATGCAACATCAAGGGTACAAAGTTGCATTATGCAGTAAATGTATGTCTTGAAAAAGTTTTTAGACCACTGTGCTGAATTGGTCATTTATGTGGTTGTTCGCTGTTTTTTTTTTTCCCCTCATTGATCAGATCTGATTATGCATCCATACACAGTCATGAAAAATGTTTACCTTACAGAACAAGGCTTTGGGATGCATTCTCAAATATTTGGCATCTCCAAATGAAGTACAAAATATGCTTACAACAAGTAACTTCCAGATATGGCACAATGGCTTATCCTTCTCTGGTCTTGCACTCTTTTTAATTTCTCTCTTTTCAGTTAGAGAAACACTGTCTGAAGTAACAGTGCTGGCATGTTCCTAAGGTTTCCTCTTTTTTATGATTAATTTTTACTGCTTTTGGATAGTTGAGGGAAACTAGATTTGCAAAGTTGTGCATGTTTTTGTCATATGAAGGTTATATTTTTGAGTCATTATGGGGAAAGTAAATGTTGTTTGACTGAATTAATCTGTTTGTAGCAGTGATCAGGTCAAGTCTGATATAAAATGTTGGTCGCTGTTGTCTGTATGTATCAGACCCCCATATATACTGTCTTCCAGCGGTCACTATGCTCTTCCTGTCGCACTCTTTCTAGCTCCGCCCATGTCCACTTGCAGGAGTCCCCATTCCTCATCCTCACTGTCCCCTGCTCGGTCCCGTCCCTCCTCCACACACTCATCATCCTCGTCTTCTTCATCCTCCAGAGCAGATTCCTCATCCCTCTCACGTTTGATGGCCTGGATGGCGGGAGGCGGCAGTGGGGCAGAAGCACCGGTGTCTTTAGAGTCAGAGCTCTCCTCAAAGACCTCAGGGTTCTCCAGCATCTCTCTGATCAGAGGAGGCATTGGGCCTGGGATCTCCATCTTTAGAGTGATGGCTCGCTCTGCTCCTGAACAAACACACAAAGATGATCATCAGGTTTTAATCTCTTCATTTCGGCCCATATTTTACATATTTATCATCGGTGTGTAGTAGAGGTGTTCTCAGCTCTTAATATCTGTACCTGACCCAAATTGGCCCAAGTCATGTCTTGGACCCCACATGCATAAAATAATAAACAAATACCGTAAAGTTGGCATATTTTAAAAGAACTTGGGTCTGCCATTCGGCAAAAGCACATTTACTTAAAATTACCCGAGATTTAAGGCTACTAATGTCCCGTGTCTGAGGCATTCATCAAAGTTTGGGACCTGAACCTGTTTGAGTCTTCGGTCGGACCTCAGATTTTCAGATCTAAGCAGATCCGTGAAGACTTCTAGCGTGTAATAGAGTTTGCATCTAGTAGAAGTCAGGTAGTACCACTAGTTGGCGCTGTCAGCAGCTATCAACTAGGCGAGTGCACTTCAAACATATCACAATAGGGCCTTTCGCACCGCTTTAGTTCCAGAACTAAATGTACAGTACTAAAGTACTGGGACGATTTTGCGCGAACTATTTCCCAGTACTATTTAAAGGGTTGCATTCGCACCGAGAGTGTGTACTAAGAAGTGACGTAAGCCGGTCGACAGCGACGTCATTTGTGCGCGGCGTTCAACAACAGAAACAAAGAACAACAACATTAACAACAGGAGGATGGAGGACGCTGTGATCGGAGCTGTGTTTTTGTTGTGTCTCGCGGGTTTCACAATAATGGACATGGAAAGTCGACGTATACGTAAAGCGATTGAAAGAACGGAAAGGAGGACTAAGAATCTCCAACGACAACTGGCAGTGCTACATTTGCTACAAGTGCCTGCACTTCAGCGTCCGTCCATCTATCGCTGATCTCCATACTTGCGAAATAAGTTGACACAATGTTTACAGTATGTTTACACGGCATTTTAAATCATGGCGGGTGAGGGCGTTTTCATACGCGTTTGACCAATCAATGTCTACTTACGTCACGATTAGTACCAGTTGTGCTGGTTAGACCCTGCTCCGGAGTAGGAGCTAATTTGGTTCTCGAAAAAGGCAGTCCGGTACTAAAATCGCACCCAGTTCCGGCGGTGCGAAAACGCCAAAAAGTGGGTAGTTCCACAATTAGTTCTGGTACTATGAAAAGGTTCCCGCGGTGCGAAAGGCCCTAATGTAAAGTTCCAAGACTTTATCACATTCTTCATATTGTGTGCCATACAGATATAAACAATGCGTACCTTTAGTGCTGATGCCTCGGAGGTCAGTGACCTTCATCAACATTCGTGGGAACATGTGAGGTTTGTTGGGGCGTCGCTGGCGAGCATAGATCTTTAACGCCTCTAGTAGAGGCTCCTGTAGCTGGTCCACCCGATGAGGTTCCTCCAGGTCCATGCGGTCTACTCATTCATCCAGTCACAGAAAGCATGACATGTCAATTAGAGTTCAATAACAGGAGAAGGAATAAACCAACCATGGAGTCAAAATGTTTTTGAAAGGAGCAGGAGGACAACCAGAGCAGCTACTGCTGAAGGTGCAAAGATAAAAACAGCACTTAGAGATAAGATAAGCACACCATAGAACTTACTCACTCAAACGATTTTCACTATAACAACTATTTATTGTCATAATTTCCCCATGTAATTGAGTCATTGATCTATAAGGAGTCGAAGAAATAAAGTGAATGACACACTGAGAGACAGCAGTACCGCCGCAGATGAGGCAGATGGCGCTAAGGAGCCCTGTCTCTGTGTCGTCCATCTCCAGAGGCAGGAGCTGCACGGCGAAAGCAAACACCAGGTCTGTGAGTGGGCCAAAACCTGCGTTGTGCATCTGTGTTCTGTTGAGGGTCAGTCCATCCGAGAAGGTCATAGTGTCCTGTTCTGGAGTGTATCGAGTACAAATCCGCAACATCTGTAAAGTTGAATTTCACAATTAAGAAAAATAAAAAACTACATGAAAGGGCACGGTCTCATTTTTTTTTCTCAGAATCCCACATCATGTGAATTTTTAAAGGCTGCACAGACACAGACCAAAGCCGACAGTCACCATATTACAGTATGTCACCTCTCAGACATTCCAAGAACCAACAAACAATGGCAGACCAATGCCAGCAGACACCGAAAGGGGTAACATACTGATCCGACAAAACCTGTCAAACGTGTCTGTTGCCGTTTGTCTGCATCTGTCCATGCAGCATGAATCGGTCTTAAAAGGATAGTTCACCTAAAAATCATTTAAGTCATCATTTACTCACCCTCCACTTGTTTCTTTCTTCTGCTGGACACAAAAGAAGATGTTTTGAAGTCAACTATAACCACATTCTTCAGAATTCAGCAGAAGAAAGAAACTCATACAGGTTTGGAACAAGTGGAGAGAGAGAGAGAGAGAGCGAGCAAATGATGACAGAATTTTGATTCTTTTGGTGAACTGTCCCTAAGATGTTGCATCTATTGTAGTAAAATTTAAAACTTAGAACCATGCGTTCAACCCACTTCCAATGTGCTACATCTAGTCTTTCAATGCAAGAATTAATCTTGCGTGCATTGCACCTAAAACATCAAATTGGACAACAAAACAAAGCAACTTTGTTGTTCATTCTAGGTTGTTGATTATATGCATATAGTTTTCGTTGTATTTACCAGTATATCAAGGCAGGCAGATTTCAGTAAGGTGATCTGGTCTGCAATGGTGAGTGAAGTAAAACCTGGCACACGTTTGGCAAACTCCACAATCTTTATAATGCACTTTGTGGAGAGCTCACTGAATTTATCCCACAGTCCAAGATCCAGCTGAACCCTATGATCCGCACTGGAATTCTGAAACAGAGAGTAAAACAGGAAAAGGTTTTAGTATTACTGGTTACATTTCAGTTTTGACTAGCCAGCTGAAAATTTTGACTATTAGTAATTCACAATGCACGTACTGTATCTGTAATTCAATTCTGACTTATAATAATTCACATGAAAGATATCTACAATGCAATCTTGACTAATGAAAATCCCAAGTTTAATTTAGATTTTATTTCAAACTAGTGATCATTTATTTTATCTGTCCTGTTGCAATTAAGCTTAGTCATAATATGCTACAGATATTGCAACACCAGTAAATATATATTTTTTTTTAACGTTTTCATTACCTCTCTGGTGCTAAGATTATACATTCATTTGGCACTGTAAGCACTCAAGAAGCATTTATTGTGTGTAACAATGCTAACTTATTGTATGTCATGTACTGTGCTGTGTGAGTTTTATGTTGTGTACTGGCCATGTCATGCTTGTCAAAGATAAATTTCCCTGAAATGGGACAATAAAGTATTAATTAATTAATTAATTCGTTCATTCATTCATCCATTGCAGTGACTGCCCATATTTCATTTTACAGACAGAGAGAGAAATAGATTGGGACTAGACACAGCATAAGATTTTCCCCCCCTTATGCATTCATACACATTTTATCCTAAAATCTTGATGCAGGACAAAAAGGGGATTTGCTGTCTCAAAGAAACCACTATTGATGTGGTCCAATAGATGTGTAATGTTATAACTGTTTTTACACTGGTGGGAATCATTTGCATGATCTTGGCCCACACAGTCCTGCTCATGCTAGTGATTATTTAGCTGACTGACAGAAGGAAGTGTGTGTGAATATGAGTGTGTGAGAGCTCAGGACTCACAGTCGTGTATTTTCCGAGCTGACAGAGCGAAGGGAAGGTTTCCCTGTGTGCTTTGCTGACTTTATTAACCAGTTCTTCCAGTTCTCCACTCAGCTCATAGCTTTCTGGAAGAACCACCTCCTCTTTTATGTCCTTCTTTTTCTTATTCCTGTCATTACGGACCGCTTAAAGATAAAGACAAACACAAAATGAACCAACCATGTAGCATACATGAACAAAAACAAAACAACAACAAAATGCTACTCATGTTACACGCGACTCATAGAGTAGAGTTTCTTTAGGGTTTTGTTCATGCCAGGTACCTCAGAACAAGATATTTTTTGAGCTTCTCACAAACTTGTGAATTCACTCTAAAATACAACTTGCATGTCTTTATTGGTTGTGTGAACTGAGAACAGTATAACTGGTGATAAGCCACTGCTTTGACTTTTACCTTCCTTAGACATGCCAACCTCAAAGCACTTCTGCAGCCGGCAGTACTGACAGCGGTTCCGTGTCACCTTGTTGATCTGGCAGTTTTTGTCTCTGTGGCAGGTGTACACCATGTTCTTCTGGATACTGCGACGGAAAAACCCCTGATACAGAGATAAGAGAGAGACAGAAACACAAAAATATAAACAGGAAAAAAGGTACGTTTGAATTCATGATTCATGTTTGAACTCTAAAATAAAAGGCTCTGTGATTTCATGAAGCTTAGATCATGAAAATTACTCAAAATTCTGCGTAATAGAGAACAGATTTTATTAACTTCAACAGAGCAATCAGCAGAGGGCACCAAAGAGTAGGTGTTTGAATGAAAACAAAAGTCTTGATCTTGGCATGGCAGCACTCAAATCATTGCATTTGCTTATTTTTATGCATGTGCTGTGTTATAATGTAATTACATGTAATCTTTTCCCACTATGGGTTGAAACATGAATATTAGAGAATGCATGCTCAGGTTTTGTTTTGTGTATGTGAGTACTGTGCACTGATAAAAGTGAAACAACAATGTCATGTATTTAAAATGCATTAAGTAACATTTTGGCTTGGTCCAAAAAAAATAAAAAATACTGTTAAAGTATGGTGTATGATCTTATTATAATAAATACTATTTGTTTGTTTGTTTGTTTATGTCTGTCTGTCTGTCTATCTTTGGGGAAAATAAAACAATTCGGTAACACTTTATGTTTATTTTAGGACCAATTCTCGCTATTAATTAGCTGCTTATTAGCATGCATATTACTAGCATTTTGGCTGTTTATTAGTACTTATACAGCACATATTAATACCTTATTCTGCATGACCGTATTTTAGATCCCTTAATCCACCCCATATCTAAACTTGCCTTGCTAACTATTAATAAGCAGCAAATTAGGAGTTTGTTCAGGGAAAACTCTTAGTTAATAGTGAATATGTGTTCCCTGATCTAAAGTGTTACCAAATATTTCATACCTTGCAGCCCTCACAAGAGCTGACTCCATAATGGTAGCCAGAAGATTTGTCCTGGCACACAAAGCAGGGTTTATAGACACGAGGAGGAGGGGGTGGAGAAGGAGAACTGGGAACCATCTCCTCTGAGCTTGTGCTCTGGGTCTCCACCGCTGCGGAAATCAAGAAGAAAAAGAACAGATAATTGGTCGTGATCACTAAGGTAAGAATCTGGTTGGTTTTTCAAACCTTCTACCCCCACAGACAAGTTCTGCACTGGAAAACATCACCACTCTTGAAAAATCTATTCATAAAGATCTATTCATAATGTTTTACAAATCTATTTATATTTTAAACAACAAAGCCACTTTCACCTCCTTTTCCCTGAGTAATTGTTTAGAGTAAGCCTGTGCTGCATCATCAAAGCCCATGCATAAATTGGAATGGATTACCATTTTACAGAATATTAAGAATGAAAGAGAGGAAAACTGAAAGGATGATGACTGAAGTTGTCAAATGCATTAGGAAGCATCTGCCCAGGGGTCTGAGCTCGAAGAAAAATATTACGTGAGAACATTGAGGAGCAGAGGTGTTGAAAGAGAAGAGAGATGGGAAAAATGAACTCCAGCACAGATGGATGAATTTATATTATGCTTTGACTGACACCTCAGCATGTGTTCAACTTGCTGTCACGCACCTAAATGGTACCACAGTCAGATTCATAAACATCCTGGACATCAGCCATACAGACACAGACATATAATCTAACACGGTTTGCCCAATTTAACACCACCGTGTGAAAAACCACAGCGTGCACTTACTTTGCATAAGTGCACGCTGTCACTCAGTTCAACTTTCACCTCTAGACACCCTCTCTCCCCTCATGCTCTTGTTTCCTGGACCCTAAATTCCTCAGGCCTGGATGACAGGCTTTTTACTAGAGGTCCAGTCTCAAGATCGCCCGTAAAGCCCGTCTGTGGCCTGACCGAGGCACTTTATTGGCAGTGAGTCACTTTGGCCAGCCATTCACACCAGCAGCAGCTGTCCCTTCACTCTCCACTTGTATAAAATAAGAGAAAAACAGCTAAAACTGGGTCTTCAGAACTCCACATATTACGCCCCACAGAGGCCTTCCCCCCTCCTCCTACTGAATGGAGCAGATCCCCTAAATGTGCCTCTCATTCTCTCCTCCCTCTGTCATTTGCGCTCCCTTCACGGGCACCGTTTAACAAGAGCAAAATGAGAGAAGGTATAGATGAGAAATCTCATAAAGAAACAGGAGGAGCTGGGGCTGGGGGAGGCTGGGAGAGACAAATGTGTGAGAGAGGGTGAATTTCACTTTGACCTTGACAGCAGCTCTGGCTTCTCAAGACATGAACGTGAACCGAGAGTCACAGAAATACTGCCAATGATCTAATCACAACCTCAGCTGAGATAAAATATGCAATATTGATGATGTGACATTTGGTAAACTATGAAAGGACGCTTCGTTTCCAAACATCACAGAGATCTGTGGTAGAGACGTTCCAAAGTCACAACCCATTTTTTTCCCCTAACAGCAGATATTTACACTTCAAAATATATGGACCTTAGTCTGGGTAGATGCCTTAGATAATTTGACTGGAATTAAAACAAAGCCTTGAGAGGAAAAATTACAATACATTCAACAGACCCAAATCATAAAACCAAAGCAAAACACATTTCTGTGTAAATTGTTTATAAAGCTATTTTTGCATAAACTGATGCATTCAATTAATATAGCTTAATAAATATACAAACACTACACTACACAAACATTGATTTAAAAAAAATCAATCTATCATTCAATCAATCAATCAATCAACTATAATTCTATCAATCGATCGGTCGACCCATCTTAAGCAAAACAGCATATTGGAATTATTTCTGAAGGGTCATGTGACACTGAATACTGGAGTAATGATGCTGAAAATTCAGCTTTTCATCACAGGAATAAATTACATTTTAAAATATATTCAAATAGAAAACAGTGATTTCAAATTGTACAATATATTATATGGCCTACCTATTGAGTAACTTGTATTATAGAACATATTTTCTTATAATTAAAGTTGGTGTTCACACAGGACATTCTTGTGTTCACAGACAGACAGAATGAAACAGAATGCAGGGTCACAAGACACATTTTTACAAGTTGAACTAATTTTAACTTTAACAGCATCTTAAAAAAGCAATAATCATGGCACACTGGGCTGAAAATGACATCTGTCTGGTGCATGTGTATATAGATTAACCAAAAAAAAAAAAGAAGGCATAGTCCATGTAACATCATGTTAGGCTCAAGCTTATAGGTTATAGGGTCAAGCACTGGTATTGTGTTTTGTGTGTGTGTGTGTGTGTGTGTGTGTGGTTATGTCACGCATATCAACACTTCTAGGTCTCTGGAATGCTGATAGATATAGTTCTTACATGTAATGTTCTGTGAAACACAAGGCAGAGGGTGATAGGCGAGTGAGTGGGTGAGAACGCAACCTGATCACTGTGTTTATGTAGTAACTTAGGCTGAATTGGCTTTATGTGTTTATATGGCAGCAATGCTTGAGTGACATAGACCGGCTCTGAAAACATCCTTTTGTGCTTGAGTGGAAACCTGGCGCCACCAGAGAAATGACTGACAGACATAAAGGGGAGAAAGATGGAATGCTGTTTTGTTCCCATTCCATTTTCTTTCTTTGTTATATTTGACATGCTAGCTTTGACTTGTGGAGGATATGGTCGATTTTGAAGCAAAGCAGGTGGAGTATTCAGAAGAAACAGTTAAACGCACGAAATCATTATTGTCTCATTTGGCACTTGATTCCACACTAACTTCTGCTTAATCATTGATTTGTGAATGGGATTGAATTATATTTATTACATTTAGACTAGCCTCCATTAAAACACTGAGTTACACAGAAAGAAACTGATTTACAGTAGTCGTATGTTCTCAGGCCATATTTCTGCAGATGACTGTATGTCCTCACTGTTTAGACAATAAGCACAATGTAAGGTGATGCAGGTTTTATCAGTAAAGGATTTGAGGTCTTCAGCATGACGAGCCAGGTTTTCTCTGCTGGCTCAGATTGTGTTGGGAGGGACATGGACTCGCTGATGGAAACACTGATTTAATTCATATCTTTCAGCAACCTCAGCAACACCAACAGGTGACCACAGTCTCTCTCACATCATCAGAAAGAAGCAAGTTGTCACTTTATAGAGAAACATCCCGTAATGCAACATGTTGCCTGATCATCAAGTGCCTGATGTTATATTATTATTTAATGAATTAGACATAGATTTACACATGACTAAATGTTAGTATATCTGTACAAGTTTTCAACGATTCCAGTCAGTACAAATACTTGTACTGATCTTTAACATTGTACATAAGCAATGTTACGTTTTCAATACATTAATCCTGTATGTGTCTATCCAAACATGCAGAAATGTATGTGTACACTTTACATACAAGTATAAACGGTCTAGTTTTTCCAGTAGGTAAGTAAAGGTCATAGAGTTTAAAAATGATAATGTGTCAAGCCGCAATTCATGTCGTGGCTGCACTTTATTTTACATTACATGCATTTAACGGTGTACTTACCCAAGAAAGTAAGCTAATGAGTAATATATGGTAATTACATGGGTTAAGATTAGGTTCGGGGTTAGTACCTTATTACTTCACACTTATTGTATGTAATCAGTACAATAATTACACGTAGTATGTAGTATGTACATGCAGAATAGAACTATAAAATAAGGTGATAGCCATGTCATAATGTACTAGAAAAAAGAATGATGATGTTAAAGCATATAGGAAAATGAAATGCATGAATGCATGAAATAAAAAACGATCTAATATATGTAAATGGAACAAATACTGAGGTCACTGTCAAAATCACTCATACATATGTTATGTATGGCCAATATATTTCAGATCTACACACACACACACACACACACACACACGCACACACACACACACACTGGTGGTTTGCAGACTGAGAGAAGAGAGATGAATGCTTCTTTCATTTCTTCTGCATGGTTGTATGTGTTGGATGGATTGAACCGCATGATTGAGTCACAACTCAAAGGTGTTCATAAAGCTTAATGCTTTTTACTCCAATTTTGAGCAAAGGCAAATTATTCAACAGCAGTCATCAAACTTTAGTCCACAAACAGAGTGAACACAAAGCTTTTTATATAGGAGCGAAGAAGAAAACTTGGAAATAAAAATTCAGAGAACTCTGTAATAGTTGTGTGGCGCTGTTTGAATAGTTCTTTTCATTCTTTTTTGTCAAGAAAAAAAAAACGCCTTTGTAATACAGCGGTATTTGTCTCATTTTACAGGCTTTCTGCATGTTGTTAGAAATTGCAACATCTCACCAACATTCGACTTGAAGTGTTACTGAGAAATGTAACAAGTTGGGTCAATTCAGCTTTGCCTCCAAAACCTTACGCTTGGACTCAGATGTTTGATATATGCAGTAAATGCCAACATTTCTGAACATTTGGCCTGATGGATCGAGGCATTAAAACCTCATTTGATTTGCTTACTGTATTTTTACATAACTTCTCACATGAAATGATGCTCTGGTAAACTAATCAATGGAGTGCTCTGATCTCTCATGGTGTGTAAAGAGCAGAACGATAATAAGGGTACTGAAAGTATTTATTTATTTAATAATTCACCTGTAGTTAAAGTACAAAGAAGGTATAATGAAGTATAATGAAGAATATTTTGTCCATATACATTAATGCATATGCACAGTCTTCAAATATGCCACTGATTCTTGATACGTTAAAATATATAGACTGAAATGTATATATACTTAAATGTATCCATACTTACACATATCTACAAATCTATGTTATACTAACAAGAAACGATGTTTCTCACCACAGGCTGAGAGATGTAGTTCTACATAAGTTTTTGATGCTGTTTACAGATGTTCACTGGAAAGATGGATCTTGTGACCATAGCTGGCTAACACTGTTTTTAATAAATGCACCCCAGGTTTATAATGACATGAGGGTGAGTAAATGATCTCAAAATGTTTATTTTCCGTGAACTAATCCTTAAATAACCAATTACTATTGTTCTTATATGTCACATATTTTCAGGACTGTAATATAATAGTTTAGTAGTTTATCAGTT